TTGCACCTACTAGTGTAATAACACACCACCATTATAAAGTATACACATAAGAAATTAAAAGGAACAAGGTAAAGTGACAGTTATTTCTACTATGAATTATACATTGTAATTGTGCTTAAAAAACCCTTTGCTCACTAAAATATTAATACATTTAATAGTTAATGTGATTGATATGCTTCATTTTTTTAAAAAATCTTGATTTAAAAGTCTAGTTGTAAGTTCAGCCATTTCAATTCTTGATTTTTAATAGGTGCTATAACTTAAAAAGATACATTACCATAATATGTAAATGCAAATGCAGGAATGATTACACTCATTTTTTTTTTATCCCATCCAGCAATGATGTACATTTGGTTAGTGAATTTCCAACTTCCTAATGCTAATCAGATGTTAAAAACTTGGGAAACTGCTGCACTTTTTAAAAATGTTTATTAGCAAATGAGTTAAAAAAAACCCACTGAAACATTATGTAGATGATTTCGAAGCAGGTTATAAAATTTTGTTTTTGTGGCTATCAATATAATACTTTACTTTGAAAACCAATTAAAGGAAAACGGACATTCATTCTGCCTTCTCAGTAGGAAAACTGGTTTCAGGGTAACCAAAGAGCCCCCGCTGAACGAGGGACAGCTCAACCCCCATAAGAGTAAGCCAGCTAATAAATGACGGGGGAGTGACATAATTAGAAAGATGTTATACTGAAAGCGTAATAAAATTACTGATTCGGGCAAGTATGATCAATTGCTGTTTAAAACACTAAGATGCACGGTTGAAAGGGAACTGACTATACAAACAGTTTCAAAATAACACCACACAGAACGCTTAATTCATAAGGAGAAAACAGTACATTGAAGGGATGTGACAGCTGGCACCCAATAACCATTAACGGTCATTTAGGTATTATATGCCTTCTGATGTGATGTAACACATATTACTAACGCACAACGTTATAGATACAACTTCCAACTCACAGGAAATACAAAGAGTGGAGAGACGAGTGAAAAATACAACAAAGAAGAAACCAGAGAAATTCAACAGGTGGAACTTTCTACAATAACAGGTCTGGTCTCTTCATAAATCAGTGTTCACAAAAAAGGGCCATGTGCGAGAGTCTAAGAACACGACAACCCCATGCAAGGAATGGTTCTGGATTAGACACTGGTTTGGAAATTTTGCATCAGTTGAGAAATATGACTGTAATGTGGGTATAAAGATGATAAAACAAGTATAAAATGATAGAAGAGATCACTGACCGAAAAAAAAATCGGGTGATAAACCCTGTACTGGGTCATATATCCTGCTTCTATAAATATAAAAAGTATTTTTTAGAAGAAATCTTTCTAAATTTCTCAAGGGTATAAATATGGGTTTTGTACATGACCTTTTATTTAAACGACAAAATGACAGAACAAAGTTTCAAACTTTCATTTTCAAAATACTCTCTCAATTGTGAATGTGTTTTGAAAGGCACTTACTTTTCCACTTAGAACTTCACCTTTACTTGAAATGACGGGTTAAGGAGCACCACCCCAAAGCCTGCCTAGCAAAGAGCCACTGACTTATCTCAACAGGGTAGCAAACTTAATCCTTTCGTAAAATGATACAGTTCACTTATCTTTTTGGAAAAAAAAAACAAAACTCTGTTATCTTTTATGTTCTTCAACTCTTTTACAGTGAGTGGTACAGAAAGATGTTTAGTTTCACCCTGATTTGTTACCCAAGAATCTACCATTTCAAACAACTGGCAAATTCATTTACCAGACCACATAAACTGTAAGGCATGGAAATATGTTGAAAACAAATGAACAGTTAAACTGTTCTCACTTCTAATACCACAGGTGGCGCCTGACCATCCGACAAAAGAATTAAATAAGCATGGGCATGTCAATCCTATTTTAAGCATTTGAGTATTTTAAGCATTTGTAAAGCCTAACCTCTTCTTCTGTTTTAAAAATAAATAGGATTACTAACACTCGATTCTCACACCCTCTCATGCCCCCTTTTAGGTCCTTCTGAGCCCACAAGCATACAATTCCTTTCCCAGGTCCAGAATTTAAAGGGACAGATAAAGAGAGTCAGTCCATTTGGAACACTTCCTTCCTGACAGTTCTTCCTCCAGAGATTTTGTTTGTGATTTGGCATCACTAAACCACCCTCTAAGTCAGTCACTAAAAAGCCTTATTATCACCAGAATTCCTCAAACAACTCCAGAAAAAGGTTATTAGGCTTGAAGATCAATTTTTAGGGAATTTTCACTCATCTCTACAAATCTTTAACCAGAGGATTCAACAGACTTCAACCAGATCAAACCCTTACTTACTTCTATTTTGATGTTTAATCTTGGGGGGGATAGCCTTATTATATCTTGACATTCCTTTGCTACTATTAATAAATCTCCGTTTCTTAGAAGTTTTTCTGCTCCTCCGTTAGCCAGCCAGTCACGGCGGCAAACATATTCGTTACAGCCAAGAGATGTAATCCTCCTGCCAAGCTGGCTTCTAACTGAACAGAGGAATGAACTCCAGTCCTAATTGCTTCCCTGGCACTTTCCTAACCAATCAAATCAGTGCTAACCTGGGAGTGTAAAATCCTGGAAGGATTTCTAAATCTAAAATATATTAACTATTAGAAAAATAAACTTCTGCATGCCAAAATACAACCATCAACAAAGTCAAAAGGCCAGCACCAAACTGGGAATGGATATGCCAGCAAATTTTTAATCAATATGCCAAGGAGTTACCGCTTTTTCACTAGCTATAAAAAACAACAGCAAAAGGGACACTGTGAACTCATCTACCAAACAGAAACAGTCTTGCAAACATAGTAAACAATCTTACAGTTACCGGGAAAGGGGGTGGGAGGGGATAAACTTGGGAGTTTGAGATTTACAAATGTTAGTCACTATATACAAAAATAGATTTAAAAAAAAGTTTCTTCTGTATACAGCACAGGGAACTATGTTCAATACCTTGTAATAACCTTTAATGGAAAAAAAAAAGAAAACGAATGTATGTATGTATATGCATGACTGGGACATTGTGCTACACACCAGAAACGGACACACTGTAATTGTACTTCAGTTGAAAAAAAAAACAACAAACAGCAATAAGATTTAAAAAGAGAGATCTCTTATTTAGAAAATTATCAAGTGTTTTGTTTCTAAGACAACCCCTGGCTCCCACCATGCCCACAGCCATCCTCTAAGCGGTTCTTGCACACTGAAGTCACCCTATCTGGCTCCTCAAGACCCCACCATCTTAGGGACATCCCATCTGAGCAGAGACAAATGACTGAGCCCAAAGCAGCCCAGGCAGAGCTCTGTGTGTTCTGCTCAGGAGCATGTAGTTGGAACTGCTCCAGCCATCCAGACTTTCCCTTGGGCAGTGTAAAGACTTTCACTGTTACACCAAGGGCCATTTCTCTAGGGTTCCCTTTAACATTTTATGAACACCAGGATTCTGGCTGCATCCACTTTCCTGCAAGGCTGTCATGATTTACACTAACCCGCAGGGTTCCCCTCCCTAGTAACTGGCCAAGAAACGGGACCAAATGCCCCAATTAAACCAGCCACCTCCCCATACTCTTTTTCTTGGGACCCTGCATAGGCTCTTTCCACCCCTGCTCAGGATTTTTGCTGCTAAGCACAATAAATACCACGAGACATGACAAAAAACAAACAAACAAACAAAAACAAACATAAATACTCTATCTGGGTAAGCTTAAGAATTCAAATATTAAGAGACCTAATTTACAACCTCTTTTTCATACATTCAGAGATGATAATAAAACTTAGTTATCTCAGGAATATTATTCTCAATTACTTTTGTGAGCACAAATACAAAAACAAACCCCCCATAGGCCTGAATCATTGTTGTTAACCATACACCTTAAACACAGAAAAGGAAACTATTCAATTTTGAGGTTTCAACTAGTTACTAGTTGAATTTCAATTTCGACTAGTACCACCAAACCTTTGTTCTCATCATTGTTAATTCCAGATTATCAAACTCCGTGTCAGAAAAATGATTTTAAAAGAAAACATGACAGTAGCAGGTGGCAAGCAGGGGGAGAAAAGAACTTATCTCAAGAACTCTAAAACGCAATCCTCTTTTATCTAGATTAACTATGACACCTGCCATGGGTGTGAGTGGAAGAAATACCCACTCCACATTCTTCTGCACTGAACAGAGTAGCTAGCTTCCACACCACCAGAAAAATGAGGGGCACAACTCTGGAGGAGCCCTTAGCTTTCTCAGGACGACTGTTACTTGGGTCCTCCTGGGGATGGATGCACTGGGTGCCAGACAAAATTTGACTCTCAAAAACCAAATACCTTCCGTGATATTTACAAATAAGTGAAATCCACAACTCACGGAAATACTGGCGATTCCAACGCACACTTCCAATGACCCAAACAGACCAACCACTCAATACCGTATGTAATCTACGTAGCATGTGACCCATTTTCCTACAAGACTCACATGCCTAGTCCTCCTGCCACCTGTGTTTAGAATCACACCTTAGGGGGAAATGGCCTGTATTCAAATTATAAAGCGCTCCTACCTCATAAGACATACTTTTGATGCTTTTTTTTAAATTAATTATTGGTCCTGACTCCCCTTTTACCCCTTTACTAAATGGATCATGAGTTAATAAAAACATAGCTTTGGCGCATTATTTTCTAACCTTAAGTGCCATAGACACATAAAAAGGTTTTCATGCGAGCTGATCAATTTTTTTAAAAAATAGACTTTTTAGAGCAGTTTCCAGGTTCAGAACAGCAAAACTGAGTAGAAGGTACAGAGCTCTCCCACATACCCCTTCCTCCAAAGCCTTTTCCAGTTGGTACATTTTTTTTTAAAAAAAAGCAAAACATGTTCTTTCTGGAAAGAAATCAGGACAGCTTAGAAAAGGTAATCTCGGAATTCCAACCCCAAATGTGAAGCACCACTGTTGTCCGCGTCTTCCCTGGCGCAACTGAAAAGTAGTTGAATACTTACCATATAGCATCCAACAAGGAAAGCGGCGTTGGCTTGTTTTCTCTGATCGGGGCCAGTAAAATGAATAATTTTCTTCCTCATCATTGTAATGGACTGCATAAAGATAAACAGCTGTTAGTGTTTGCTTTCAATTTCAAGTTCTCTAAAACTTCATGATTTTGTGATTAAACTTTGTGATTAAAATAAATTCCAAATCTCACAATGGCCAAGTATTCATACGAGCAAGACTTTTTCTTTAAACATTAGCTTTGATACCCTGAAGTACCACGTACCTCCCCAGAAAAGGTGTATTTTTGGAGTAAAATGAATGCACCATTAAAGAGTAGGAGATGAGATAGCTGAAACCAAGATAATACTGTAAATCAACTATACTTCAATTTTTAAGAAAAAAGAGTAGGAGAGGAGACAGGAACAGATATATGCTCCAAGTATATATCTCTGAAGGAATATATAAAAAGTTGGAAAAGGTTAAGAGAGATCTTTTCTTTCCTTTTCCTACTGCCTGAAAATCTATTCCCAAAACCTTTAAATCAAAATAAAAGGGTACAGAAATGGGCAAAGGTAATTCATTCTGTAAGAAATCAGGACAGTGAATGGGGTAGGGAGGGGTGGGGTGAGGAGGAAGATACAGAGATAATCCACGAGTGTCAGTGGGTCCTTCTGCAGTGTTGCTGGGGTGCTAATAATGTTCTCTTCCTGACCCCATGATCAAGATGATTACCCATGCACATTCAGTTTGTGAAAATTCATTGAGCTGTGTACTCACGATCTGTATGTATTTCTGTACGTACATCATGCTTCCATAAAAAGTCAAAAATGAAAAGGATATGGAAGTTAAAAGCCAAAGGAACACACTGTTAGTACTTCCTCCCCTGAACTTCACTAACATGAGCAGAAATGGGTTCAAGTAAGGGTAAGGAACAGGATATATTCAGCTGAATAAGTACAGTGCCCCTCGGCTTCTGTCAGTCAGTGTTCCAGTGTTTCAGTGATAAGTATGTACCTATTTTCCTCTATTGTTCACGTAGGGTAAGAGATTCAAGTTGATAAGAACCCAACCAGCCTTCAAGCAGCACAAACATAGGAGACTTAGTGCCAATTGTCAGCACACATTTATCACTATTAATTGAACAGGAATCAAGGTTTTGATCAGATAAGATGGTCAACACCCTGCAAGGTGTTCTAGTAAACAATTTTTTAATTTTTAAAAAAGGACTACCATATTCTCAGTTGATCAAGTATGTTAAAAAAAATCTTTCAATATTAAAGCAAGTGAATACGAGTAGGGGAAAGGAAGTTATTTTTAGCTGCCTAGTCCTGCATGAATCAAAAGACCTGCCATTAGCAACTGGAAAAGGGGAGCAGGGGGAACATAAATATCCAAGGCCATAAATGCTTACACTCCTGTTCAAGGGAGGAATAAAGTCCAGAAAGATGAGTCTCCATCTCTGTATAAATCTCTAGTGACTACAAACACAATACAGAATGAAAAAGCAATGCTACAGCTTCCATTTTACATATAAATTCTACATAGTAACTTATCAGACAGGTGTTTCTAATATTTATGGTGTGGAATTTTACATTTGGTGCTCAAAGAAAAAAATCTGCCTTACCCACATACTTTAAATACAATTTTTAATTAAAAATAAATTTTATCTCTATGTACTAGTCTCGTAAGTAATCAACTGAATAAACTTGTTTTGAAAAAGCACCTGCCCCAATCAATACAATCCCTATCAAAATATCAATGGCATTTTTCACAGACCTAGAACAAATAATTTAAATTTTGTACGGAAACACAAAAGACCCCGAATGGCCAAAACAATCTTGAGAAAGAAGGACAGAGATGGAGGAATCATGTTCCCTGACTTCAGACTATACTACAAAGCTGCAGTAATCAAAATAGTATGGTGTTGCCACAAAGAGACACATAGATCAACAGAATAGGATAGAGAGTCCAGAAATAAACCCATGCACTTATGATCAATCTACAACAAAGGAAGCAAGAATATACAATGGAGAAAAGACAGTCTCTTCAATAAGTGGTGTTGGGAAAACTGGACAGTTACATGTGAAAGAGTGAAGTTAGAATATTCTCTAACACCACATCCAAAAATAAACTCAAAATGGATTAAAGACCTAAATATAAGACCAGATACTGTAAAACTCCTGGAGGAAAACATAAGCAAGATACTCTTTGACATAAATCACAGCAATATTTTTTCAGATCCATCTCCTAAAGTTAAAAGAAATAAAAGCAAAAATAAACAAATGGGATGTAATTTAATTTAAAAGCTTTTGCACAAGAAAGGATACCATCAACAAACAAAAAAAAACAACCTACTGAATGGGAGAAAATATTTGCAAATGATATGATTGATAAAGGTTAATATCTAACATATATAAACAGTTCGTACAACTCAACATCAAAAAAAAAAATTTTAAAAATGAGCAGAACTGATTAGACATTTTTCCAAAGAGGAAATGCAAATGCCCAATAGGCACATAAAAATATGCTCAACATCACTAATAATCGAGGAAATGCAAATCAAAACCACAATGAAATACATCACCTTACACCTGTCAAAATGGCCATCATCAAAAAGAACAAATAACAAATGTCAGCAAGGATGTGGAAAAAAGGGAATCATTCTACACTGTTGGTTGGAATGTAGTTTGGTGCAGCTACTGTGAAAAGCAGTATGGAGGTTTCTCAAAAAAACTAAAATTAGAACTAGCATACCATACAACCCAGCAATTCCACTCATGGGCATATATCCAAAATAGCCAAAACACTAATTGGAAAAGATACATGCACCTGAATGTTCATAGCAGTATTATTTACAAAAGCCAAGATATGGAAGCAACCTAAGTGTCCATCAACAGACTAATGGATAAAGAAGATGTGGTATATATACAATGGAATACTACTCAGCCATAAAAAAGAATGAACTCTTGCCATTTGCAACAACATGATGGACTTGAAGGGTATTAAGCTAAGTGAAGTAAGTCAGACAAGAAAGACAAATACTGTATAATATCACTTACATATGGCACCTAAAAAAATAAACCAAGTGAATATAACAACAAAGAAACAGACTCACAGATAAAGAGAACAAAATAGTGGTTACCAGTGGGGAGGGAGGGATGGGCAATATAGCAGTGGGAGAGTGGGAGGTGCAAACTACTGGGTATAAGACTGGCTCCAGGATGTATTGTACAATGTGGGGAATATAGCCAACATTTCGAAATAACTGTAAATGGAAAGTAACCTTGAAAATTTTTATTAAATATTTTTAATTAAAAAAAAAAAGCACCTGCCACCAAATTCAGTGTTTCTACTTGAGAATTTACGGTGACTTAATTTGGAACTGCTAGTAGTACGTATACACTTCGTACTGTACATGACCAAAAATTCAGTTTTTTTTTAAAAAATGAGCATGGTCTAAGTTCAAACTAATAGTAATACACTTTTACAATTCAGTGATACAGTCTTAAAGATAAGCTGTTTGCCCTTATCTCCCTGCTCCTTAATCATATGTGGGAAGTGAAGAGTCACAAGTTAGTAAAATTTCATGGGAGGCTCAAGATATAATGAGATAAAGATGAACCGACTTCTCTTTATTAGTTTGCTGACACTCCCTATCACAGTGAAGGCAGAAAGAATAATGATCAAAGGAAGGAAAGATTTTCTTATGAGGTTCAGTTCCAGTAGGTCAAATGATAAAGAGGTTCACTTTAATGTTTTTGTTTTGGTTTTTAGGAGAGAGGTAATTAAGTTTACTTATTTATTTTTAAGGGAGGTACTGGGGATTGAACCCAGGACCCCGTGCATGCTAAGCACACACTCTGCCACTGAGCTATACCTTCCCACCAAGGTTCACTTTATTAACCATTTTCACTTTGACTTTTCAAATATCTGAGCATCGCTAATCCAAACCAGAACCAAATGACCCACACTTAAACCATCCAATCAAAACGCTGGAAAACAGATACATTATGACTTTAAAAGCCATAAACCATGGGTATGTCCCAAACATCACGGCAGTGAAGCAGCATGACATTTCCTTTTTAGAAATAGAGGGATCCCCCCTCCCCTCAAGATCAGGTTAATAATGCTTTACTTAAGTCAAATCTTCAGTAAAAAATATTTTACCTTTAATTTCTTATTTATCTTGCAGCAATATCTGTAAACCATTGCTAGATTCAGTGGTCCAAAATCTGCGTAGAAGCTTTAAAAACGAAAAACAAAAATGTGTATGTACATTCTAGAGGCTCTGAATATAAATGCCTGTTTGTAGCTACAAGGTCAAATTAAAGTAAGAAAGCATATACCAAATTATTATAGGTCATACAACTTAAAGGTACTGCCTTACTAATGGAAGAAATATTCTGATAAAAAAGTGACTATTAAAATGCATGACAAGTGCTATAACACTTAAATCTAACCTCAAACAATATATGAAAATACCTTCTGAATTTTTTTTAAAAAAAACCCTCTTTTTCCACACATATTTTTTCCACTGGCAAAAACACGTCTTAAGACTTGTTTGCATAAACAAACAGTTAGCCTGCTCTGAGGTTTAGCAAGAATGGTAGCTGGTTAGTACACTAGTTTCTACCTCATTATACTGTAAACTATTAGAATTCCAAATGTAAATTGTTCAATTTAGGGAGGTCCTTTCATTTTAATGTTTTCCCTAAGGATCTATTTTATTACCAAGGGTTAAAGGAAAAAGCATCCTGCAGTTATCAATCAAAAGATCTGCAATTTTCCAATGTTATAAACATACCTTTAGATTCTTCAAAATAAAAAAAAGTTACTAACAATCTTTTAAAAAAACAATACTTACTTTTCATATTCAAGTTCATTATCTATGCTGAAATAATGTACATTTGATGAACTCTTTGGTCTGCTGTAGAGAATGGCAAAACAAAGGCGATCTGAAATGGAAAAATTGCAATGTTCCTTCCTTCACATGATCAAAAACGTTTCATATATGCAACTCTTTCCAGATAAAGTCAAACTTTTTTTTTTCCATGCATGTTTCAGATGGTAAGGGTGCCAAATGGATAACTTCAAAATGTTCCGGCTACTCTGATGGGTAATAATAAATAAGCAATTTTTTAAAAGGAGCAATTGCCTTTAATATATGTTTCAATAGTAATAAACGATATGGCCTGATTCTTGAGGAAACTCCCATCACAAAATGTCAGTTCCCCTGGACAAAAGTCATTTCAGCAAATGGCAAGCATGCATTTGATGTCTAGGCCATCAACCTGGATGACTTCCGCTATGTTTCGCTCTGTTTTTAAGACATCCTAAGAAGTCATTTCAGTAAGAAACTGTATTTTAAGTAAAGAGAAGACACTTTCAAATTTCAAAATATGGCTACAGGACACAACAAAGCAAACAACATGTTTATCCAACTATTCTTAGGGATCACTACTTTTGAAGTGACTTTTACAATCAGACAGGTTACCATTACAGCAGAAGCAATGAGTTTTCTGCACGGTGAGTATGAAATGTACTTGTGTTGCACAAATAAATGTAGTTAGGTTGCTGTGAAGTTTAGCAAGAATGGTAGCGAAGTAGTAAAGCTTGGAGGCTCCACCCTCCCTCCCCCGCCCCGCCCCACCCCAAAAAGGGCTGCCAAAAATCCCTCACCCGCAATACCTAGTAGAGCTAGTTGAATACCTGCATTCAAATTGTGGTAAAACCAAGTACAGCCCTTGAAATAGCAAGAAAAAAAAGGGCGTCAGCTGGCATCCCTTCCCCAGATGGCAATTTAAACAATTTCTGCCTGCAATTCAACTCACACAATTGCTGTCTTTATTTCCCTGTAAACTCCTCAACTAGAATGTCTTGCAACCACAAACACTCCAGCGGATGACGGGGCTTACTCCTTTGCAACCGCAAATGACCCTTGATCCCTGTGCACAGGGAGCGTGGATTTCGCTCCCTGAAGTGGAGAGCCTACCAGCCAAGGGCCAAGGACACAAGGAGCCCAATTACACACATCAGTGCGGATTCCGCCCGGGGGGCGAGGAGTCCTGGGAGGCCACCCACGCTCATGAGACAGCATCGATCCTGGCCCTGAAGTTTAAAGGCACCCCTTGGCCAGCACCGGGGGCCTCCCTGACCCCGGGCACTGCCTGAGGCCCTCTGAGTAGGGGGTGTCGCGGGGGCGCCCGGGCCAGGCGAGCCCCGCGCCCTCCGCACTCACCTTTGATCACCTCGGCCACCAGAGGGGTCCCTGCGCCCTCCCGGCTCATGACTCCACAGCATCTGGAAGGCGGGGCGCAGGGCAGCGCCGGGTGGCCAGGGAGCAACCAGCCACGGAACGAGGAGGGCCGCGACCACACCCCCAAAGTTTCAAAAACAAAAGTTTAAAGGGCCGCGCCCCAGCACTGGGCACGGCGACGCCCCGGGGCCGCCCACCCCGGCCCGCCAGCCCCGGAAGTTCAAAAGTCCTCAAACGCCCCAAACTGGGCGGCGAGGGAACCACCCCCAGCCGCCCCGGCTGCGCTTCGCCCCGCCTCGGGGACAGGGGGCGGTCGTCTGTGGCGCCAGGCCCCTCCAGCACCGAAACCCCACTCTCAAGAGTGGGAACGCGGGGCAGAGGGTCACAGAGGCAAACACAGGATGCGAAAGCGATGAAG